TGGAAATCCTTGGACTATGCAGGTTGTAGAGAAAGACTGTCTGCAAGGTGGGAAAATAAAGCTGACATGAGAGAGATGTTGATGAGAAGTGGGTAGAATCATGACAGCATTTCTACCCTCTGAGGATCAGAGATGCCCCTGTCTTCTAGAGGTTATATTTTGCACCAATAATGTTCCAGAAAATCTCCCTTTTCATCTAAAAAAGCTTATGTGTACAACCAAAAAGATGCTAAGTAACATACTACCTCAGTGGATTGCTGAATTGAATGATAAATACTGTGCAAAGTGAGTGTCTACCCAGAATGAGACATAGAGGTACCTGATAATACTTGAGAATCTGAAATCATACATTAAAAACACTTGTTGTTAGAGCACTGGACTCAATGAGAAGTGAAGAGTTGCAGCTGTATCAAGACCTTGCTGCTTGTTCAAGAACTAATATTCGTGTTAGGTTTAGAGGCAAGTAAAGAGCAGCCTGATATTTGAAGAACGTGATTATCCACATTCTTCTCCCCCAAGGAAAGGGCCAACAGAGCTAAAGTCTTTTAGTCAAGAAGCATCTTTGATTCACAAATACTATGAGCATTTTTAATGTCCCATGACTATCACCTAGAGCAGTTTTTGCCTTGAAGTACAGAGAGAAGGGAAAATGAACATTTATATCTTTAGTAAATATCATTAGTTGATCTGTTATGACATTTATCTGTAAAATAAGAAAATGATTTGGGCATTAGTGACTTTTAATTACTCTCATTTAATTCTCCATATTAAAAATTATTTTTTTAACAATGGGAAAGTAGCTATCAAGAAGATAAGCTTTAAATAACTTTTCAATGAAGCCATCTTGATATTTCCTTTCTCTTAAAGAACCCAGTTATGAATTACTTTGCTTTCTTAATTTAGTTCTGATTTTCTAAAAGTTAATTCAGTATGAAAGAAGTGCAATGGAAAGGGAGCCCAGTGCCCAAAAGTCTAAAATGGGCTGTCTCTATGTAATAGAAGCAGAACATGCTCAGTGGTCAGTGCAAGTATCTGGAAAAACTAGAGATATTTGGTGATGTGGCATAGATTGTACTGAAGGAATTCCAAGTTAGAGAAATTTGGTAAGAAAAAGTAAAGGAGAGAAGAAGGGGTTATAAAAGAGCTATCCCCAGACAAAATGTTGAAATAGGCAAAGTCTATATCCTGTTCCATCCTACGTCTACCATCAGCCCTGGCCATCTTTTTTACATTTCCTGAAACCAGAGGACTTAATGCTAGCCTCATGAGTCTTCCTGTTTCAGGTCTAAATAGTCACCTTCCCCTTAAAATCCATTAATGCTTCAGCAAGCATCTATTGAACACTGAAAATGATAAAAATGCACACATATATAAATCTGCCATATTCCCTATCTTCCATAAACTTGTGGTTCATTGGGGGAGGAAAAGAAGGCGTGTAGATCACTAAAACACATGGGAGAGTGGTGTAAAAGAAGGACAAAGAACTTTAGGGTAAAATAAAGCAGCAGAACTAGACAAAGGAAGGATGAAAAATTAGAGGTGTGGATTAAGAAGGTGTGCTGTGACAAATGCTGTGAGTTTCTAAAAGCCCATGCGCAAAAAGTCAACGAGGAAGAAATTAAGGAAAAGATCCTAGAATTGATGATTTTAATATAACTATAAAATGCACTTTAAATGAAGTGATTCATGGATCACATTCATTTATTCATAAACAAATATTAAAAGATTTAACAGGTGAATTTCATGGATTTGGGGATAAGTAAAGAGAAAAGGGATGACAATCATTTATGTAAATAATTCTAACAGTATTATGAAAGACATAATATATTTATTATAGGAAGAACAGCATTTCTCCCATATGTTCAGAGCAGAGGCAGAAGAGAAAAAGCCCACTGTTACCAAACGGTTTACATAATGATCAGGTATGTTAAATCAAAAAAGAAAGAATGAACTTTAAGAATATGGAAAATATTGAGTCAATATATTATACACCTGAAACTAATAGAACAGTGTATATTAATTACACTTCAATTTAAAAAAAATATGGGAAATGTCCTCTTCCTGTAGAGACAGATTGTGGACTGGAGTCCTCAGCTGACTGGGGGCTCATTCGAGAACTTTAATGAGTGGCAGTACTTTGGAAACAACCAGGGTCCTGAAATAAAGATGAAAAGGCAACAAAAAGCAGACTAACTGCTACCCTTAGGCAGACAAATCAAAGCATCTGAGCCTAAAAGGAGATAGGAAAAATCACTTCAAAGCTTTATTATTCTTTTGTTCATTTCTCAATAACTCAAACCAACGGATATCCCACCAGGAACTTGCTGTCTTTTTTTTGCCTATGAAGAAACATAGCTGTAGTGGATATCTATTATTTCTATCTTACAAGCATACCCTACTCCTTCTTCTGCTGACTGGATACTTTCCTTTTGAGAGGTTTCTTCCCCCATGCACAAGGGTATGTGTGCAACCTAGGGCATCCAACCAGAGCCCTTTGTCAAAGATTGATCTGCTCATCAGGGCGCCAGGTTTGCTTTCTTTGTAAGATCGAAAACTTTGTCATCTGTGTAGGGCTGGAACTGTACTATGGACACAGTCTGATGGAGAATGAAACCAACACAGAAAGCGACGCTGACAGCAAGTGAGAGAGGGAAACATTCTTGTTGATGCTATTAAGCCATGGTTCAATCCTGCCACCCTTTGTACTTCTGAGTTACGTGCCCCAGTGCATTTCCTTTGTTTGCCTAGGTTAGTTAGAGTTGAGTTTCTGTCATTTGCTATTAAGAGTCCTGTATGCAATGTTTTTGAATTACATATTTAGGTAGGAAGTCAAAGTCTAAACTTTCAAATCATAATCTGCCCAGTTCATGATTATGTTTAGTGTGCATGCTGTAGCATAAAGATATTCAGTCAATCCTTACCACCTTAAGATTAATTATTGAGAAAGAAAGAAGGAGAACAACTGGGATAAAGATATATTTTTCATCTTCTTTCACTGCCTACAGAAAGGAATGGGTGAGTTATATTGATGCCCTAAGGAAATTCCATTTTCATCTTCCCAGTGAATCACTCATGGAAAATTAGGAAAATGGTGTTGTCATTTCAAAGTGGCTCTAATCCTGGAGATGCCATCTATTGGAGACATGCTTTAAAGGAAGAATGATTTAAGGAGCTAAAAACTAGCAAGTAAAAGATCTAACAGTAATTGATCATCTATTTTGGGCTGGACACGACACTAAATTTTAAGTGGGGAGGGAAGGAAGAAACTCAGGAGGGAAGACAACTTCTACTCACCACTACAGGGGTGCCTTCAGCTCAGGTCATGATCCCAGGGTCCTGGGATCGAGCCCCATATCTGGCTCCCTGCTCCACGGGAAACCTGCTTCTCCCTCTCCCACTCCTTGTTGTGTTCCCTCTCTCTCTGTGTCTCCCTCTGTCAAATAAATAAATAAAATCTTTAAAAAAAATTTAAAAAAAGATCTATACCACTACTGTTCTGTGAAAAACACACCCAAGTTACTTAGTGGGGTTAGCAAAACCTCCCTAATTTGTAACAACAGCAAAAGAAAGCAGCCTTAGCAAAGAAACTGAACTGTGAGATATTATAAAATACATTCCACGTGAAATCATTGCTCTTACAAGATGCTCAGTAAATTCTCTGAATAAAGGAATAAAAATGTAACAAGTCACTCAAAACTCCCAATCAGCGTTTTGCAATTATTAGCACTCCATGGAGTATTATTCTTAAATTTCCTGAGCCTTTATCTCAGGTAAAGCTATTGATTCAGGGAGTATGTTATGCAGATACCATGAGAGTTTCTAGTTTGGCAGACTCTGGGCTCAACATTGCATTATTACTCCAGGTAAAAGATGAGCATCTCTGAACGTCAACGTTTTTACCTGTCAAACTGGAATAATAATGATTCTCTTAAGGGGTAGTTGTGAGGGGTGAATGAAAAAGGCGGGAATTTGACTCAGGAAACATTTATAACTCTCAGTTTAAAAGCGGAAAATTTTCAAAAGTATACTATCCGGAATGCAGGTAGAATATACTGAAAATCGATAGTGGGGAAATAGTTAATTTGCAGGGTCGGTGGCTTTGAGAGTTCATGAGGCTGAAAGTGTTGGATGCTCAGGCGACCAAGGAAGAGATACCCCGGCCCGAGCTCGGCCACAGGACAGAACCCTGGCTGCGCACGGTTACCAAACGGCCAGGTTCCAATTCAGTTCGGGCAGCAGAATCTACCCATCTCCAGTGTGCGCGTTTTTCTTTGTGCAATTTAACGCCCGGTTGGAGGAGGAAGGTTGGAGGTAGAACGTGAGGTAAAGAAATTACAGTTCGAATAACAAGAACAACAGAACCAGCAAGATCGGGATGGGTGTCAACGAATATGCAAAATCCCGCAGAATGAGGAGTCATAAACGCCCCGAAAAGAAGTTTACACGTTAGCAGCTTTTTGGGATGCTGAACGTCGCCCTTTCCTCCTCCTAACAAATCCAAGCATCTCCCCCAAATTATTTTTTCCAGAAGTCTGAGCCAATTTCGTTGTGGCGGAGCTTTTTCATCGCTTTAGCCCAAATTTCCTCGGTTTCTTTGGCGAGACCCGAAATTAGGGCTGCCCGGCAGGCCGGAGCCCCCGGTCCGGGCAGCCCTGGGGGCCTGTGAAAGAGGCACTCTGAGATGTGCGGGCAGGGGCCCGACAGGACGCGCGCTCCGGTCCCCGTCGCCGCAGCGAGCGCAGGTTCCCGAGCTCCGGGCGGCGGGGACGCGCGTGGGAGGGGGCGCTTTAAGCCCGAGCGGCGGTTTCCGCAGGAGCTATTTTTAGCAGCGCGTCGTCCGTCTTCTTCCCGGGCTTCCAATGTGGTAGCCTCCGGCTCGCAGCCGCCAGTCCGTGGCTGCTTTCTGCCTCCCCCGCCGCTGCTCGCTCTTGGTAGCGTCCACGCAGGCCGGTCCGGAAACTGAGCATGTGTGGAAGCGCTCGGCGGCCTCGGCGGTGGCGCGGGCAGAGCGGGGCTGCGTCAGGCTGAGCCCGTTCGCAGCGCGGCCGCAGGAGCGCAGCGCCGGCGCCGCGCCGCCCAGCCCCGCCGAGAGGGGCGCACTCGCCGCCGCGGGGTCCGCGGCCGCTCACCGCACCCCCTCCTGGCGACCCGCAAGTAAGTTTGTAAGGTGGTTGGGCGGTGGGGCGAGGGCTCGGCACCCGGGGGAGCCCGGGCCGGCTGGCGGGAGGCGCGACTAGCGCTGCCCCGAATGCCCGGCGCCTCGGCGAGCCGCTTGGCCAGTTTGATAGCGGGCGGCCGCTGGGATGCTCGAGCCGGGGGGACCGGCAAAGCGGGAGGGCTGAACTGACTCTGGCGGGGGCCGAGGGGGCCAACTTGGGCAGGACCGCGAGGTGAGGGAAAGGCCGGCAGGCCCGGAGCGGGCTGGTGCGGGATGGGGAGGCTGGGTCTGGGTGCGGGCGCCCGGCCGAGAAGAGCCGCAGAGGGAAAGCGGGGTGTCTCCGGGGGGTTAGGGCGGGAGCGCAGTATGGGGGTACGGTAGGGGGTGAGCGTGTCCTGGTCGGAGCGGCAGAGGGAAGATGGATGGAAAGTGGGGCGCGTGGAAGGCGGATTTGAACGAGAGCAAAAGACGCTGGTGGAAGGGGCAGTAGGTTCCGGAGAAAATGAGTGGACCCGGATAATTTGGGGAATTAGTGCTAGGTTCAGGGCGATATAATAATGGTGAGAGGCAGCCTTGAATCAAGGTCTTTGGAGTGAGTATGCGAGGCCACTGCTGGGAACCGTCTGGAGAGAGGATGGATGCAGAAAGTGGCCTGGAAGGGCCAGCTGGACAATCGTTGAGGGATTTGGGTGAAGGGGAGGAGGGCAGCAGTGCAGAGATCAGGCGGAGGAACCGGGCCGCTGGTGGAGCCGAAAGGCTCAGGAAACGGTTGGAGGCTACGTGCGGTCCCCTGAATACTGACTTGGTAGCGGTTCTCTGAGGTTCACTTGCACCCCAGGTTCCTCCTCCTTTTCCTGCCTGGCTTTGTGGCAGGGCAGCTTGCTCTAGGAGAGCTAGTAGGAGATTTGGACAGATCAGGCAGCCTGGAGGGCAGTCATTTACAGGGGAATTGCCGGGGCTTCCCTGTAAGTGGTTCCCGGCCCCCTCCGGGTGCAATCTAGAGTCGGAATGTGTGTGCTGCGGGGGGGGCGGAGAGGGGTGGTGTCACTTCTGGGCCATAGGCATCTGTGGTCTGGCCCCGGAGGTGAGGTGTTTTGGGCTGGGAAGTCAGGCAGAAGTCTGCAGCGTGCAACTCGCGGCGGGGCGTGTGTGCGCGAGTATGTGCGTGTTGCCAGCCCAGGGTCGCGTCTGTTGCTGCAGTCTGTCTCCATGACGAGGAGATCCTGGGATCCACAGGCGGCACGGGGAGGGGATTAAGGGAAACGTGTTTTCCTACGTCTCTTCTGTCTCCTTTCCCCAGGGTCACATTCTTTGCTCGTCCAGTGATGCTCCTTTCTAACCTCTTCCCGGTCCCCTGCACACCCCGAACCTGGCTCCAGTCTTGTCCTCTGATTTGGTACCCCGAGGAGGCGGCTGTCCCTTCCGTGCGGGAGGGAATCCTAGGAGTCCCCGCGGCCAGAGGGGCTCCGGAATCCTCGGTCCCTTACTTGGGGCGTCACTCCGGGGGTCCGCAGTTCCCCTCTGCTGCCCCTGCAGGTGACGCGATGATGTTGCCCCACGGACTCCGGAAGCGTGACGGCTCCAAAGGGCCAGTGGGGCCGAGAAGCACGGCAGAGTGACCAGCACTCATGGGATTTCGAGGGTAGGGGTCTCCCCTGAGTTTCCCACATGTAAATGTAACTTAAAAAGAAAAAAGACCAGGTAATAGAATAAACAAGCGTCTAATGCAAAAAGCTTTATGCAAAAACGCCGCTTTGACTCGGAAAGATTTCACCCACCAACCCAAGAAGGAAAGAAGCGTCTACAGCATACAGGATCGGAAACGGGGTGGTGGGGGGGGGCGGGATCTGTAACCATGTCTGCGCCTTCTCAGCCTCCATCCAGCTTTCTATGTTCTGTCGTCAGTGCCATATTTTTAGAGAGACTTTACCAGATACGGGGAAGTGAGGATGAAGGTGACTCTGGAAACCTGTACCGTCTGTGGAAGGACTCAAAAAAGGAAGAGTGAGAACTGTCTACTGTCTGTGGATTCCTAAGAGGGCTGGGCTCTGAGGTGGTTGTGAAACCACCAGAAATAGTTCGCGCATCCAAATTGCAGGGGGAGACTTAGATGAAGGGAAGTGAGAACTCTAGAAAAGTGATGAGGATCATGGTATGGGTTGTTTTACAGGGTGATCACTGACCTGTGGAGGGATACAGCAAAAACGACAGCAAGCTTCATGGCCAGGGCACGTCCTCATATTCCATGTGACAGTGGCTTTCTCAGTTTCTAGTACATTAACTATTGAGAGGTACCTTTTGAAATATGTCCATGATTCTGGATATCTGAAAGGTGGAGACTTTGAATAAAGACAATGCTGTCGGTTTCTGCTTCTATTACCATGGATTTTTTTTTTTTTCCCATTGATTATTGTTAGAACATGTGGTGAAGGTAAAATACATTATTTTTAGCTGTTAATTCTGTTCTCCCTGGAGTGCTGTTCAGATACAACATAACCTTATATGTTTGCTTGTTTTTTTTTTGTTTGTTTGTTTGTGGGTCAAGGAGGAGTGATTATTGGGCAAGTTGATTTGGGTGTCCAAAAAAAAAAAAGCAGAATTTAGGCACCCAAAAAACTTATGAGCATGTGGAGGTGAAGTCTTCATTCATAGGATGTTAAATGTAATGTGAAATGAGAAAACCCTTCCCTGTCTATCCTTCACCTCTTGCAGTGGAAATAGAGAGGATTGTACCCTTGGGCATATTTTGACAATAAATTTCCTGGAGGATTGTTTCCTAAGCCCATGTATACTTTAAGGAATTGTCAATGGAATCTGCTGCCCTAAGGTAAAGGCATTAAAAAAAAAAAAAGAAGAAGAAGGTAGCAGGAGGGGAAGAATGAAGGGGGGGAAATCGGAGGGGTAGACTAACCATGAGAGACGATGGACTCTGAAAAACAAACTGAGGGTTTTAGAGGGGAGGGAGGTGGGAGGATGGGTTAGCCTGGTGATGGGTATTGAGGAAGGCACATTCTGCATGGAACACTGGGTGTTATGCACAAACAATGAATCATGGAACACTACATCTAAAACTAATGATGTAATGTATGGGGATTAACATAAGAATAAAAAAATTTTAAAAAAAAAGTGGTGAAATGGCTTGAGGAGGCAGAACTTATGAGAGAGAGAAATGTTAGTCAACATGGAAGAAGAGAAATCACCTGTTACCTCAGGGTATCTTATTGATAGGCTTAGGACAGTGGTTTTCTACAGGGGTGATTTTGCCCCTGTCTCCCTCCCCCCCCATACCAGCAACATCTGGAGACATTTTTTGGTTGTCACAACTTGGGAAGGGGGTGCCTCCGGCATCTTGTGGGCAGAGGCCAGGGATGTTGTTATTCTGGGTCCCCAGAATAAATAATTACCGACTCCAAATGTTAGCAATGCTGAAGTTGAAAAACCCTGCCTTAACAGCACATGATTAGAATTAAAAGCAACTCTTGTTAGAATACTTTCACATGTTGCTATTGGAATTTATCTTGAAAATTAGGAGTAGTTGATACTAAGAGGCTTTCTTTGCAAAATGGCCCCATGTTCAAAAACACTTGTTTTAAGGAAATTAAAGAGGTTTCCTTTTAGCAGAACTTCTTTTCAGCCTTACAAACAAATCCTAACATGTATTGGGAATGTCTACGATGATAGGTTGTATAGTACGCATATGAACTGAGTAGACATTTTTGATGAAAACAAGTGATAAAACTGTTTAGCTACAGTTTTTTTCACTGAACTTGTTTGGTAATTGCTCTTTAACATATATAATTAAAATTTTTAAAATTAAAATTAATTAAGATTGCAACTAGTAATTTCTTCATGTAGTGAGGGATTGAACAGAATCAGAGAAAAAATGTTAGAGGAATTTTTATTAGAAGCCTCATAAAATGTTCCAAAGTGAAATCTTAGTGTTTGTAGACATGTACACAAGAAGGTAAGAATCCCATATGATTTTCATGTATTTAGTTTCAATTTTAAATCGACAGCATGGCATGTATTGAGAAACAAACCTTTCTAGCTTGTAGCACAATACTCTTGCCTAGAGAGAAGGAACAATAGCTTACACTCATAAATGTAATAAGATCAGGGAACAGTTCTAATATCACTTGTATGCAGGAACTCAGAACACTTGTAAAAGCTCTAGGGAGGCCTAGAGGAACTAAAGAAATGAAGCTCTAGGGAGGCCTAGAGGAACTAAAGAGATGTGGTCATTATTTTTACCTTCTCTCCCTGCCCCTCCCCCCATTATTTGGTGATTGGTTGGTTGATTTCAGAATTCATTCTATAAAGATCATTAGGGCTGCTTACTTCCCTTCTTGTTCTAATAACCATTCCCTTTACTCTTGCCATTGCCATCCCTCAGTCCCTCAGGAGTTTCTGTAGCAGAAGAGACTTCATACTCCTGTTAAGTCTCTGGGGTCCCCAGTAATCCCTCCTTTTCTCCTGTGTGTACAAACACAAGCTCTTTCCTGCTTCCATGTGGAATAGAGATTGGTGTCTGTCTTGGAAAAAGGCAGTGGGAGAGCCCTTCTTTTCCACAAAGAGAGCCTCGATGTCTCTGGTCGCATGTGTGAATTGCTTTTTCAGTTGTTTGTTCAATTGCTGTTAGGAAGACTTCCTTTTTCTCGGGGGAATGGTGAAAGAACCTAGGAAAATAGAACTTCAGTGTGAGCAACACTGGTGTTGGTAGAGTGTACTTGTCATTGGACTATATGAAAGCTCACGGATATGATTTGAACCAATGCGAATCATGTATTACAAATTCAACAAGCATTTGTAAGTTCAACGGTAGCAAGTCCTGTTGTAGGCATTGGGACTATTGCATTTTCAAGGTCGAGCTGCCATGTGCATTTCAACCAGTTTCAAAACTAAGTTCATTCAGAGAATATACATGTTTTATATACATCTTTAAAACTCTGTAAAGAAGAAACACAGGATGGTTATTCATTTTCATGAAATTTGGAGC